TAAGAAGTTACTAGAATGAAGGTTTCTAGGTGTATTGAAAGGATCATTGAGATCATTGATCGTAGATGCTTGATTGTTCATAGTTGTCCCCCAGGGTGACGTAACAGTAGCAGGAGCTGTATTCCCCTGGCGATTTCTGAGAATCCTCCATTATCGAAGTTCAGGATCCTTGGTTGTACGGCTGTGGGCGTCATTTTTCATCCTCTCCACTTCTCTAAGTAGTTTTCTATTCTCCTATTGCTGATGGGTCAGCTGTTGCATCATTTTCCTCATCATAGCGAAGAGCTATGCAGTAGTGACCGGAGTAGTCGGATCCTGGAGTTCTGAAGATCCCAAACTTCCTTGGTCAGTGACCGGAGGGGTGTTTTTCTTGGAATTGTCAGGCTCTTTCCTCTAACCAGGGGGTCTACTTGGAGGAGGTGGTAGGTTTTTGGTTGGAATGGAAGGAGTAGAGGATGAAGAAAGGATCGGTTGTGTAGACATTATCTTTCAAGGATTTTGAACACCACGGCCCCACGGTGGGCGCCAAATTGTTTTGGTCAAAAACTACAAAAGTGTTGATGAACTAAATTGAGTGAGAGGCTGTGATGTTCGAATTGTGCAATATAAAAAGGTAAAGAGAATGTCACGATTGTTTTCAAGGAATGCCGTTGATCCTTGCTAGGATTTCCGGCGCAAAACCTTTGATGTGATAATGATCACTTGCCTTGATGATTTTATTAATATAAAACGATGATTACAGGGAGTATTTCAGTAAGAATAACTCAAATCGTAATTCATCAATGGAAGTTGCATCCAGATGGTATAAGAACAACACGCATAAGTAGCAACATGTTCAGCCTTAGCTGTGTTTCAATCTCGGAACAGATCCAAAAATTCTTCACATCGTTAAGAACAATCCTGATTTGTGATCCTTTCCTTTCTTCCTTTCCCACAAAGGACACATACCCTCACTTAAATTTCTGAGTGTTGTACAGTTGAGATATGTCTCCTATCATATGTCTGGAACAACCACTATCAACAAACCGAAGTCCGATGATATTCCTCCATAACTGCTCTAGCACAGAGTGCAGGATTAGTTGGTCTTTGGAACCCAGTCCATTTTGAAACTGGGTTGACCGTTATCGTCTACACAAGGTACTCTCTCCCATGACATATCCTGTTTATCACACACAAGAGATGAAGCAATGTTAGAATCATTAGATAATTTGGGAGTGTGAACCTTTGGTACCCATATGTAGTCGTGTTTAACTCATTTCTTGTTTGATCGGATGGATTCCTTAGCACTTGCTATTGAACTTGAAGCCGATTGTCGAGATGACTTTAAATTAGCTGATCTTCGTTTAACTGAACCATCTCTTGAATTTGGCTTCTTGGCCGACATTCTCTACTTGTCCTTGGGAGTTTGATTCTTGCCCTTCTTAGCATTCCAATCACCATTGTTTGAATGTGATCTCGAAGGGTTTCTTTTGTGGAATCTCCCTCTTGACGTGGTCTGCCAACCTTGTGCATAGTAGGGAACATATGCACGATTTGGACAATTTTTGGCAATGTGTCCAGGTGTTCCACAGTGAAAACATGTATGTTTCTTCACATAGAAGTTATTTCTGTCTTTCCCTGGTAGCATGCCCATGCCTTGTTTCTGATTGTTCCCACATGCACACATGCAGCAAGCGGACTGTTTCGCTTGTTTTGGTGGCCTGTATTTACCAGCAACAGGTTTATTAGAAGTAAGTGAATTAGAAGCAACATATTCAGAGTTCAAGGAGACATTGGTTTGACAGTCAACAGAATCAACATAACTGGAATTATTTCTGTTCTCCTTGTTCTCATCTTCCACTCCTTTACCTGCACATGAAGTAGAATCATTAGTATCCTTCATCTCAATATTCTCAGTTGGCCCAGATTGTTCAGTTTTAACTGAAGTTGGTACAGGGGGTGGACCAAACTGAGCAGGTGTATCTTCCTCATTGATTTCAAGGGGGGGGGGTCATAGTTGTCATTGAAGGGAGGTGGAACACTGTGATACCCTAGACCCTTTTTTTGATTATCTTTAAATTTTAATTGTTTTTCTATCATGGATGCAACTACCTCATTGACACGTCAAATTTCTTAAAGTTGAATTCAACATCTTTATATTTAGCTATCAATGCATCAAGTTCGACAGTTAATTTGGCAATTTCCTTTTTATCTTAGTTATAATTTTCACATTTATTACTATATTCTTCTTGAAGTTTTCTAAAGTCCTTGGTTTTGGCCTCTAGTTGTTCTTTTAAGGGTTTTTGGGCCTTCCTAAGTGCATATCCTTCATATTTAAGGTCCTCAATTTCCCTTATTAGCAAATCATGTTGATCACGATAAAGTTTAATTTTAGCTTCACAAGACTGAGAACATGAAGCTTCATTGACCTTGGTGTTTGAGGAGCTCATTGTTTACCAAAAATGCCCTTTGACTTGAAACCTCGAAAGTCAACCTTAAAAGTCAAACTTAAAAAGTCAAACTTAAAAGTCAAACTTGAAAGTCAAACGTGAAAACTTGAAAGTTAAATGAGAAAGTCAAAGTTAAAAATCAAAGATTAATCATGAGAGTCAAAAGTCAACTTTGAAAGTCAAAGGTCAAAAATGAAAGTCAAAATTTAAACTTGGAAGTCAAAAGTTGAAAATCAAAACTTTAGGCCGAAAACGAAAATTTTAAGATAAAAAACGAGAGAATTTGATCAAAAACGAGAATATTTGACGAAATACGTGACCTTTTTGACCAAATACGAAGCTTTATGACCAAAAACGAGGCTATCGGTTCGAAAATGTGGTTTTTGGGCTGAAAATAAGCCAAAATCTTGAAAATTCGAATTTGCAACCGAACTCGCGAAGCCTCTTGATCCATACCGAGAAGGCTCGCACCGAGAATTACCTTCTGACCGAAAATGCGAAGACCGAAATCGACGCTGAGAACTACGCACCGAAAACGTCCGAAGCCGCTCCACCGCAAACCTCTCACCGAAATATCGGACACGCTCCACCGTAAACAGCTTCTGACCGCAATCTCGTTCCCGGCCGAAAACTCTTCGGAAACCCTAGCCGAGACCGAGAATAGTCGCCGGAGATTTGCAAATAACGTCCAAAAACACGATTTTCAACTTTTAATGCAAAAAACTCGATCAAAACTCGGAATTTTAAAAAAAACGAAGAACAAACATCCAATATTTCTTCCAAAACAAATCAAAAATGCCAAAACCTTCAAGTAAAAATCCAAAAATGTTCAATATCTTGCCAAATTGATTGATACAATTCAAGCTCTGATACCACTTGTAAGTCCCTAAATCGCTTTGATGTATCAATCATATCCACTTGATGGTGCGAAATCCTAATCAAGTGGATGATGCAAGACAGAATAGAGAAGAAGAAGAAGAACAACAAGATGAATCTTCAATGCAGACAATGATTTTCAATGATGATCCGGTACACTAGATTCACACACACACACGTTCTCTCTAGAACATGTTAATATGACAATGACAACCCCTTTCACGTTTTCTACTCCCTAAACACCACCCGAACACGCCTAATAACACACTATTTATACATATGGACAAACCCAAGCCCAAAACCCAAAGGCCAGACCGAAATCACATGTGATTTCGGTCCAAACTACAACTAAACCGAAGATTGTTTTTGGCCCTTGACCGAAAACTACAAATGCCTAGAAAAGCAAAGTATAAACCATAAATTTAGACCTAACAATAAGTGAAAAAGGTATGTAGAGTAAGCTAAGAGTCAGCAGAGTGTGTCGTGTGTGAGATACATGTGTTAATTTATAGTCTAAGCTAGCTAACAAGATGTCTGATATTCCCGGGATCCTCTATGACCAACTTTGTGAACGTTTTTTGACTTGGTATTCCAGGTCTTTAGCATAGTTAAGACGAACCTCTATTGAGAATAACTCTTCTCTTGACTATTTCTGCACATGTGTTTGTTATGAACGAAATATAACCGTTATAAATATTAGTAAATAATAATAACAGTAATAGTCGGGATCCTGAGATAGTTGAGGATCCTGAGAATCTGATGAGGTTTGAGGATCCTGAATGTTTTCAGCATCCTGGCCCTAACAATTATTATTATTATTATTATTATTATTAATAATAATATATATATATATATATATATATATATATATATATATATATCTATATATATATATATATTAAAGAAGTGAAGCTTAGGTCCAGCTCTTTATTAATATTACAATTTCGTCCTTCCTGGTCAGTCTCAGAGCCTAGGCAAACCAACTCTTTTTTGGCTGGCTGGTTTGGAGCCGATGGGTCAGCGTCTGGTTGATGGTGGCTGATTTCTTCCTTTGGCTGCTGAATGGCACTGTCATGGGCTTGATTTATACGTGTTATTTCTTCCTCAGTGAACCCACCACCTATACACACTGCCCTTTGATACGTCTTTATCTCTTCCTCTTCCCCACCTGCGTTTGTCACTCCTCTTTTCTATCAAATGCTTCTCTCATGGTTTCTAGAAACACCGATTCCATATTAAATCCACTCTTCCATTGCTTCTTCCGATCAGAATTCTTCTTCTTCACCCCCCTTACCGGCTTAAATTTTTTACCACCGGTTTCTGGCTCATGTTCTTATCTGTATCTGTTTTTTCTCCCACGTGATCTTTCACCCTTTCTCCTTGGAGCCTTGGGGTTGTCACACTGTTTTTTTGGGTCTTCTGTGTCAATCGGCGTATTTGTGTTGAGCCCTGTTAATTTCAATTTGTAGGGAAATAGCAGGCAACATCGACAACCTCGATTTGACGTTTTTGGCGAACTACACAGAAACTTGCAACCTTTTCTTCGAAAACATCCACATCGTCAGGATCATCTCCGACTTTCCCAGAAGCTGGTGGTCATTTACCTGTCAAACAAGCTGCCAAGGCCAATGATCTTGCCCTAACCGGTGATACTATTGGCTGGGTTCACGACAGATCGGTCATGACAGATCGGTCATGACCAAAGCTCTTCTGAATCAATATCCTTCCGATTCTCATGAGGTTAGTCAACACACCTCCAACAGTTCAAATCTTCAACAAATCGTGTTTGGAGATATATGGGATTCTGTTTCCTCATTGATAAACAATTTTTTTCACCTAATAGTTGTGCTTGATTGGCAGCAGCTTGGATATGAATTTTCCAATAACATGTGGCTCAGCACATCATCTGGTAGTTTTTCTAAACATATATACTTTCTCCATAACCTTATTTGTTTTCATTCTTTATCTAGATTGATATTCTATAATAACTAAATGTCTCAATTTTTAGGTTATTCTTTTATGTTTTACTTGATTCCATATGCGAATTCACACCGTAGTGTTTGGATGATGGAATACTATACAAGTAATATTTCAGATTGAAATGAAATATATATGCTTTCCTTTCTTATTAGTTGTGGATGTAAGTATTCTAATTACTATAAAATCCATTTGTCTAAATTCTCACATAATATTTTGCATTGCAGGCTGGCGAGATTGCTCATGAGAAGGGTGCTAATATCATCCTTATTCAGGTATGATTATTCGATGAAATTCATAATACAATATGATTTCTTGATTGTTTCTTTATCAACTTATTTTAGCAACTGTGTTCATGGTTGATTTTGTTAAACTATTAGAGGGCTATTAGTTTTTGTCAAGCACAAAGGGGTAATTAACTTCAGCGAGCAAAACCTTATAAAGATCATTCACTCAATGGAGAAAAAAGGAGAATATATGTCTGGATAGCTCTGTTATATGCTGGAGGTTTGATACATACCCCTGCACAAGCAATCGCAATTACTTTGGTGACACTTTTTTTAAAGAACTTATCATATCAATACTAAAAAACTTAATTTCACATAACTAACGTACCCTTATCTGCTTTCCACATATTTGCTTTTGTTTTAGTTATATCTTCAATACTAACGTACCATTATCTGCTTTCCACATATTAAGGGATATAACTGCTTTTTAATATTCTTTTGCTTTATGTATTGGACTTTCATCGACTCAAATTATCAAATAATTGGACTTCTTAGATTTGTTATACCAGGTTTATTCAAATTTTTTTAAACTAAAATTAGCATAGACATTACTTTTTTTATGCTACCTTTTGAATCCATTTATTTTCTAATACTCCAATCATTACAATTTTTTGGGAGCAAGGTTGGGAGCATGAGTTCGTAATGAAATCAATTTGCAAATGTTTTACATTAAATGTTTAAGTTATTTTCTAATACTTTATATTAAATTTTGTGCACTTAGATGGTTTGTTGTGGGTAAAGATGAAGGACAGACAGATGGAAGAATGGAAAGTGTATGTTTCATTTTGCATGATTATATGAATTACTATTGAAATAAGGCTACCCGGTATGGGAGCGTTTTCACGTGTCTTGGGCTGAGGTGGCAGCCTCCCCCACGATTGAACACCGCCTCCAAGTCCGGTGGGCTGCGTGTGGCATGAGGCGGAAGACAGACGAAGACGAGCTCTTTGATTGGCCAATTAATTTTCGAACGTTATATTCGACCGTTATATTATTCATTAAAAAAAACTTTTTTTTAAATTTTTTCAAATTCTCTATATATACATCCACTTTAACCACAATTTCCACTAAACCACACCCACATTTTTTCAAAACAAACACACACATTAAACCAAAAAAGGGATAATTTTCCACCTCCAATTTCTTCGTCTTCCGATGATAACGATTCTGATGAAGATTTGATTTTGTATACGTTGTTATCCGCGGCACAAGACGTGGTACGTGAGAGGGGTGAAAGTTTAAACGTCGAGAGGAAGCATAGAAAATGGATCAACCGGGATCGAGAGGCGGCACATGAACTTTTGGTACGTGATTATTTTGCCGTTAATAGTTTATATGATCTATCAAAATTCAAAGAACGTTTTCGTATTAATAGAACTTTATTTTTACGTATAGATAGAGATTTGGCACTTAATTATGGATTTTTTTCAATTATGATGGGATGCTAGAGGTAAACGCGGTTTTACTATAATACAAAAATGTACGGCCGCTCTTAGACGGTTGGGATGTGGTATAACCGCAGACGCATCAGATGAGTATCTGAATATGTCTGAGATGACGGGTCGAGAGTGTACATATTTATTTTGTGAGTATGTCATAGAGCTTTACCGTGACATATACTTGCGACATCCGACTAAAAGCGATGTCGAACAGTTGTATGCCGCGCATCAAGCGAAACATGGTTTTCCAGGGATGCTTGGTAGCATTGATTGTACACACTGGGAGTAGGAAAATTGTCCCAACGCGTGGCGTGGCCAGTTCACGCGAGGTGATCATGGGGTGCCGACTGTTATTTTGGAGGCGGTGGTTTCAAATGACCTATGGTTTTGGCATGCATTCTTTTGTATGGCCGGGTCAAACAATGACTTGAATGTGCTCCAAACGTCTCCGATATTTAACGATATTTTATAGGGTAAAGCACCAGAAATGCCATATGTTGTCAATGGAAATGAATACAAATATGGGTATTACCTACGTGATGGGATATATCCAGAATACGCTACATTTGTCAAGTCATACACATTTCCGGCCGACGATAAACGGAAAATGTTCAAGTTAGCACAAGAATCTGCAAGGAAGGATGTAGAACGGGCGTTTGGAGTCCTCAAACAAAAGTGTCACATAATCAAACATCCGGCATGAACATGGGACAGAGAAAAATTGAGAACGGTGTTGACTGCTTGTGTTATTTTACATAACATGATAATAGACGAAAAGGGTAGGGCTATTTGCTCATATACCACAAACGATATACTTAACCCACCTGCAGTAATACAAGTTGGCAGTCCGACATACTTCTCAAGGGTTTTGGAAATACAAAACCGTAAAACACATCACAATCTACGACATGATTTGACCGAATACATATGGGAACGACAATTTCAAGAGCAAAATGACGGTGAAGACAACGATGATGACGATGAGGAGGATGACGATGGTGGCGACGAGGCGGATGATATCGGCGACGACAACGACGACGATTAGAATTTTTCTATGTGTTTTTATGTTTTTTAATTTTTATTTTATTTAGACAATGTAATGTTTAATTTAACTAATTTAAATTTTAAATTTCTATGTTTTAATTAATGAAATGTGCTTTTATTTTTTTATGTTTTAAAAAATTAATGTATGTTATAAATTATGCTTTTTAATTAATATAATGTTCAAAAAATAAAAAGAATAACAAAAAAGAATTTGTGGAGTGGTAACAATTTCCAATCTTTAGTGGGTTGGTGGTGGGTTGGGTGTGAAGCTGACGTGGCGCACATGTGGCAGCACTTTTCCAGTGGGGTGGGTGTGACCACTCCCCATAGCCTAATATATAAATGACATAACTGTCAAGGTGCAGAAACCCTCAAAATAAATTTGTTTATGACCCTTTTATTAAAGGGCATTTTAGTCTTTATAAGGCTATAAAAGAATCTAATGATTTAACAAGGAAATAAAACAAATATGCTTTTAATTGCTATCTTCATTTATGGTAATTATTCTGCAGGGGTATTTTCGGCACATGCATAATTGGGAGACATGTATGCCCCTTTTCTATAAATTATTCAGTTTTCAAAGTGATTTGCATCGTTTAATCAGGATGGAAGGGATTGAAAAACCCACCAAAAGCCTTGAACGAAGCTTAAAAACAATTATCTTTGCTTTTTGTTAAAATATGTCTGCATACTTTGCTATATATTTTCTTTAAAAGTTTATTTGAATGTATTACATATAGTAACCACCAACAATGTAGGCACAAAAACGTTTGCCTAACCTAAATCAACTTCCGACCCGCTGCGAAGCGAGGGTTACCCTCTAGTTATTATTATTATTATTATTATTATTATTATTATTATTATTATCATTATTATTATTATTATTATTATTATTATTATTTCTTAACAAAATTTAACAGCTATATTTCTTGCTTATTTCTCCCATGTGTAGAAATAGTCAACATAAGACTCATTCTCAATGAAGAAACATTTCAATCAGGCTTAAGACCTACAAATACCAAGTCAAACTAACCTTTTTATACTTATTCAATAGGAGTTAGGAAATATCAGACTTTTAGTTACTTGGATTAGATTATAAATACACATGTACTCTTCACACTACACACAGCTAGACTTACTGCAACATTTGTACTCGTATACTTACTTCCATTTCTATAACTCACATTTCAATCAATACAATTAAATGAGGCAGGTGATCATTATCACCTCCCAAGGTTTTATATTGGAGATGCTAACCACGATCAAGGACTTTCCTTGTAAACCACTTGTGTGATTTTGTTCTCAATTCAATACTTATTCCAACTATAAGACCACAACCTCCCACACAACTTGGTTGATTCTCATTCGATTGATTTTTGACCAAAACAATTCGGTGCCCATCGTGGGCTTGTGGTGTTCGTAACTCTAGAAAATCATGTCTACATAACCAGCCCTATCTTCTTCCTTTATTTCTCCTATTTCCTTGAAAGCTCTTCCACCACCTCCGTGCGGACCCCCTGGTCAAAGGAAAACTTCTGACAAATTGAAGAAGAGCGCTTCTCCATTTATTGGTCATGGGAATCTAGGATCCTTGGGATCCTAGGAACCTCCCGCTTTAATCTCTAACAACGAGCTCTTCTCCATGATGCAGACATTAATGCGGCAGGTCACTCAGCAACAGGAAGACAATAGAACACTACTTAAGGAGGTGGAAAGGATAAGGGCAGAGATCTGTAAACCCTAAGAGGTGACACCATCGATCTTGCAAACTAGGATCCTGAACTTTGACAACTCGGGATCCTTATGGAAAATCCCGGAGACTACTGCCCTAGGATCCGCCATTGTTTCGACTTGGAGTGTAACCCCAACTAATCAAGCTCATATAATCAGGATCTTGACAAAACTTTCACCACTCCTCATAACAAAAATGATGCTAACTTCTTTGAAAATAATACTCTTACTAACTCTGTGAACCTTGATACGAGAATAAGTCCGGTCATAGCTAAAGAACTTCAGCAGCTCAGACAGATGATCTTGAGCGTACCAGGAGTTGTCCAACCTATACCAGAAGTATCCCCCACCAGGCACATGATCTCAAGATTCATCCCATCGATAGTCGACACTGAAGTTCCAAAAGCTTCCAAACTCCTAGCATGAAGCCTTACGATTGAACCACGGATCCTGAGGAACACATAACGCAATATAGAAAGAGAATAGAGATCATTCCCATTCATCCACACTTAAAGTAAGCTTGTTTATGTAAAGGCTTCGTTTCGACACTTACACGATCGGCCTTAAAATGGCTCCTTAATGTTCCTCCTTAATATATTACCTCTTTTGCTCACTTAGTTAACCTCTTCAATAATTAGTTTTCTTGTAGTAGGATATTCGAAAGGATCACTTGTGATATTTATCGGGTGATCCAGGATCCCAAAGAATCCCTAAGGTACTTTATAAGTTGGTTTGTCTAGCAAGCA